GCGGCTCCTTGGCGCCGTCTCCGTTTCGTCACCTGAAAATACACACACAGGCCCCCGAAGGCAGCAAAGACTCCGAAAAGCGACAAATATGGCCGCGGGGAGGACGACGCCGGAAGTCCCGCCCCAATTCCCGGAAATGCCCTTACCCCGATTCGTCACTGGCTCCACTCAGCGCACGTTCTTCTGGGTAATGTAGTTCCTAGCGCTCCAAAGGCCACAGATTTCTCCCTGGAGAGCAACTAGGACTTTTTTGTTGTTATTGATTTTATTTTTTATTTCAATTTTTTAAAATATTTTTATTTATTGGTTTCAGAGAGGAAGGGGTAAGGGGAGAGAGATAAAAACATCAATGATGAGAGAGAATCATGGATCGGCTGCCTCCTGCACACACCCCCACTGGGGATCGAGCCTGCAACCCGGGCATGTGCCCTTGACCGAATCATACCCAGGACCCTTCAGTCCACAGGATGCTCTATCCACTGAGCCAAACCGACTCATTAGGGCACAACAGGCTATATATTTAGTATGTTTTTTATTTATTTTGAATATGTTTTTAAAATTGAATTTAGAGAGAGGGAGTGTGAGAGAAACATCCATGAGAGAGAAACAGTCCTGCACACCCTCTCCTGGTGGATCCGGCTGGGCATGTGCCAGGACCCAAATGGAACTGGGTACCCCTTGATGCATGGGGGCCCACTCAGACACTGAGCCACACCAGCTGGACACAACAGGCTGTTTTTCCACAGAAAGCCAGAGGCCCAAATGGCATCACTTATGCTGAAAGCCCATGACCCCACCTGGTTTAACACCTGATAGAATGCAGTTTCCCCATCTCCCAGAAACAATCTTAATCATCCAGCGTTAAACGGTCCGCTAAAGCACCAGGAATGTGGTGTGCCTCATAATCCCTCTCCATCCCCCATAGGTAAGAGAGGCAATCTTATGATAAAAATTCTTCCAGGTGGGCCCTTGCTGGTCTGGCTCAATGGGTAGAGCATCGGCCTGCGGACTGAAGGGTCCCAGGTTTGATTCCGGCCAACGGCCCATGCCTGGGTTGCGGGCTTGATCCCCAGTAAGGGGTGTGCAGGAGGCAGCCAATCAATGATTCTCTCTCATTATTGATGTTTCTATCTCTCTCTCCCTCTCCCTTCTTCTCTAAAATCAATAAAATATATTTTAAAAAAAATGTTTCCAGGTCTTTTTTTCCCGAAAGAAAAGGTATCCCTTCTCAAAAATACTGATTTTCAGTTTCGCTAATTGCTTCGCCCCTGGGAAACCTTTTAAATAAGACCCCTGTCTTGCCCTACGTGAAGGTGATGGCCTGAAATAAGGCACTCTCCTAACTTCTTAGTCCCCACCTTTCCCGTTTCTACCAATAAACATGTTCCATTTTTTTACAATCCAGGTCTTTTTTCCCAAAAGAAAAGGTGTCCCCTCTCAAAAACACTCTGATTTTTAGTTTCGCTAATTGCTTCGCTCCTGGAAAACCTTTTAAATAAGACCCCTGTCTTGCCCTATGTGAAGGTGATGGCCTGAAATAAGGCATTCTCTTAACTTCTTAGTCCCCACCTTTCCCGATTCTACCAATAAACATGTTCCATTTTTTTACAACTCTGAATATACCCTTCAATTTGCTAGTGGGGTGCTGCCCATTTATCAATCACTTGAAGCCAATTAGATCTTTAAATTTACTCCGTTGAATTTTATTTTTTAACACAATCATGGCCGGGTAAACTCATTGAGTGTCATTGTGATATGTCAAAGTTGTGGATCATACAAACACCGATCAACGAATCCACATATAAATTGAACAAATTGATGTTCCTCTCTTGCTCTCACTGACACTCTATCTAAAATCAATAAGTAAAAATTTTACTTTAGCTGGGTCCCTCAGTGGGTTAGAGTGTCATCCCCATATGCCAAAGTTGTGGGTTGGATCTCTGGTCAGGGCACATAAAGGAATCTACAATGAATGCATCAGTGAGAGGGCCAAGCCCTGGCTGAGTGCTCACTTGGTTGGAGCATCCTCCTGTACACCAGATGTTTGCAGGTTCGATTCCCAGTCAGGGCGCATACCTGGGTTGCAGGTTTGATCTCGTGTTGGGTCCCATACGGGAGTCAATGGATCAATGTTTCTTCCTTCCTCTCTCTAAAAACCAATAAACATATCCTTGGGTAAAGATTTTATTTTATTATTATTTTTTAAATATATTTTATATTTATTTCAGAGAGAAAGGGAGAGAGATAGAAACACCAATTATGAAAGAGAATCATTGATTGGCTGCCTCCTGTATGACCGCCACCAGGGATCAAGACTGCAACCTGGGCATGTGCCCTGACAAGGAATCCAATCGTGTCCTCCTGGGCAGGAAAAAAAATTCGATTCCAGTCAAGGGCATGTACCTTGGTTGCGGGCACGTCCCCAGTGGGGAGTGTGCAGGAGGCAGCTGATCGATGTTTCTCTCTCATTGATGTTTCTGGCTCTCTGTCCCTCTCCCTTCCTCTCTGTAAGAAATCAATAAAATATATTTAAAAAAAATAAATAAAAGACAAAATAAAAATAGAGATTCCTATGACGCCCTCTTCAGGTTAAATTAAGTTGCTAGAGCTGTTGCCAAACCCACACCAGTTGTTCCTAGTGATTTGACCTCAGTTCAGCAAAATGTTTTTGTTTTTTAATTGATTTCAGAGAGGAAGGGAGAGGGAAAGATGGAAACATAAGAGAATCATTGGTTGGCTGCCACTGCACACCCCTACTGGGGATCCAGCAGCCAGACATGTGCCCTTGACTGGAATCCAACCTGGGACCCTTCAGTCTGCAGGCCAATGCTCTATCCACTGAGCCAAACTGACCAGGGTTTACTGTTCTTTTTTTAAAAAGATATATCAAACAAATAAATACATGAAAATCGCCAAAATTGATAGCCAATTAGGCTGAACACATGATCGCACATTTTACCCAATATACAGATAGAGAGCAAATACACATCTGAAAAAAAGGCTCCCCATAAGCCTGTTGGGAAATGCAATCGAGCCACAGTGTGAAGCACAACAAAGTTATAAAAGGGTTGAAATAAAGAATGATTGACCAAACCAAATACTCTCTAGGATGTAGAGCAGTGATGGCGAACCTTTTGAGCTCGGCGTGTCAGCATTTTGAAAAACCCTAACTTCACTCTGGTGCCGTGTCACATAGAGAAATTTTTTGATATTTGCAACCATAGTAAAAAAGACTTATATTTTTGATATTTATTTTATATATTTAAATGCCATTTAACAGAGAAAAATCAACCAAAAAAATGAGTTCGCGTGTCACCTCTGACAGGCGTGTCATAGGTTCGCCATCACTGATGTAGAGGAACTGACTCCCTCATAGATTGCTGGAAGAATGTAAAAAGTATAATCAGTTTATACCACAACTTGCTAATACTGTTAAGTTAAATATTCATAGGACTCAGACTATTCACTGAGTTATTGACAAAAGTAAACAAAAACATATCTATACGATACACATACGCTTGTACCAGCCTTATTTTTAAAAATCTATTTATTTTAAAATAAAATAAAAATCTATTTATTTTAGAGATAGACAGTAATGGAGACGGAAACATACATTTGTTTTTCCAATGTTTATGCATTTATTGGTTGATTCCCCAATGTGCCCTGAAAGGGGATTGAACCCACAACCTTGACGTATCAGGAGAGCGCTCTAACAAACTGAGCTACCCAGCCAGGGCCCAGGTTTATTTTCAATAGTCAAAAAGTAGAAATAACCCAATGTGCATGTACAAAATGAATGGATAAACTAATGGTTTATATATTTGAAGGTAATAGACTCAAAGATAATATTTCTCTGGAAAAGAAATGATGAGGTACTAATACATCATTAAATACATCTTCAACTATTTATGCAACAGAACTGAAGGCAGAAAATCCACTTTTATTGCCATCATATAAATTCTATGAAATGCAAAGTCAGCTATTAAAATGAAAAGTAAATTAATGACAAGGAGAGAGTATAAAAGGACATGAAGTAAATAGTAACACATATGGTTAGTATTATGACTATGGTGATGGTTTTAGCTTAATATATGTCAAAATTCATCAGATACTATACTTAAAATGTCATTTACCACATGTATATTATACCATACTAATAAAGATTTTTTAAAATGTCTCAAGATTAAAAAAATTATCTTCAACTCTTTAAAAATACAGTTTGCAACTCTATATTCAATCCATATAACCCCTGGGGGTCAGTCCAATGAATATGCATGCAGATAAATCTTTGAGCACACCTAGAATTATCCTATTAGTATTAATTCTTAGAAGTGGAATGCCTCGTGGGTTTTTTTAAAAGCTTTTGATACAGCTTGTCAAATTACTCTTCATTTCCTGCCTGGGCATCAATGGTCTTGAGGTGAACATCTGAGACCCTATAGAAATTCACACATACAAAAAATTTTTTTAGCCGAAACTGGTTTGGCTCAGTGGATGTGTTGATATTTTATTTTTTAAATATATATTTATTGATTTCAGAGAGGCAGGGAGAAGGGATAGAAACATCAATGATTAAAGAATCATTGATTGGTGGCCTTCCACATGCCCCGTACTGGGGATCGAGCTTGCAACCTGGGCATGTGCTCTGACCGGGAATCAAACCATGACCTCCTGGTTCATAGATCGACACTCAACCACTGAGCCATGCCAGCCAGTCCACAAATTTTTTTGTAAGAAATAGAGATAGAAACATCAATGAGAATCAACCCTAGCCTGTTAGCTCAGTGGGTAGCGCATCAGCCTGTGGACCAAAGGTTCCTGGGTTCAATTCTGGTGAAGGGCATGTACCTTGGTTGCAGGCTACTTCCCGATCGTCGGGTCCCATGCAGAAGGCAACCAGTAGATGTGCTTCTCTCACATCAATATTTCTCCGTCTTTCCCTCTTTGTAAAAAAAAGATTAATGGAAAAAATATCCTTGGGTGAGGATCAACAACAAAATCATTAAAATGATGAGAATTACTGATTGGCTGCCTCCTGCACATGCCCTACTGGGGATCTAGCTCACAAGCCAGGCATGTGCCCTGACCAGGAATCAAACTGTGACCTCCTGGTTCATAGGTCAATGCTCAACCACTGAGCAATACTGTCCAGGCCTAAAAATCTTTTGATTATCTTTGATGAAAACGATGTAAGTCGCAGAATATAAACATGCCTGGAGATCCTCAGATTTGTGTACACACTGATACATTCTTTTTCGCAGAAACACTTCTGGATGCACATTTAGAAGAGGCACATTCCATCCAGTTGGATGCAGTCTCCAACAGTACCAATTGGGCCAGTGATTCTGTAGCAATCATGGCTTTCCCCTCACCCCTACGTCCCCACAACCAGTTGCCATCAAACACATGAGTGTAGACATACGGGCAAATGGCTCTTCATAAGAACTTGAAAAATAATTCCCTTCAAAACTATTGGCATACCTTGTGAACAAGGTATAAATTAATGCTGCTCCCAGAAGCACCTGAGGTTGCAACACCTGACCCTCCTTAGGGTGATTTCTGAGGCTCCTAAAGTTCACAGCATTTAGGCTTCACCTGACCAGAAAGCCCTGTAACCTTTCCTCAAAAGATGTGAACAGTAATGCAAATTTGGCAAAAACCTGGTGAGCTAGTTTCTGTCCCCAGGCCATCCTGTGATACAGAGAAATTTTGAGGCCCCTCCAATAAAAAGTTGTTTGTAAAACCCAAATTTGCTTGTAAGTTACGCCACATTAACTCGGATACCCAAGACTGAAGAGTCCTTAAAACAGTAAGATACTCATTATTTTACAAACCAAAGGATGACGGACCTGGTACTCCTTGCATTGGTGACTTGGAAATTGGAAATATTCGTCACAGGTATCCAAGGAAACCAGGTCCCTGAAAAAAGTCCTTCTCAAGCTGCCAGTTGAATTCAGATGACGTTCTCTGGTTTATCACTGAGTTAAGTCCATTCCCCAACTATTCAGAGTGAACAGAATGCAGATCCCCTAAGTACTCAGGCTATTTCTAATTTCCTTCAACAAACCAAGAAACAGAGTAAGCTGCCCTGAGCACATTAGTCTGGTGACTGATGCAAACTGTGGGAATCTTCTAGATGTTATCGGTGAAACAGCTTCGACCAGAGATATCTGTAGTGACATAAATCTGGCAAGAGAAGTGTGTAGATCAGAAAGTGCAACGTAGACACACATGCTTCCCACATAACTAAAACTTATGGGGAACCTCCCTACTCTTGATGTTTTATGCCTGAAATTAAATTCAGACAAATGGAACCTCAGTGTTTCCTCCCGTGTTAATAACACTGAAAACAAAAAACACAAGCAAACAAACAAAACCGCCTTAGAAGGCCTACACATCTAAGGCCTTCCCCCAGTGTGAACTCTCATGTGCTGAGCGAGGTTAGATTTTCGGCTAAAAGATTTGCCACATGCAATGCAATCAAAAGGCCGTTCTCCCGTGTGAACTCTCTGATGATATTGGAGGGTGGAACGAGAAGTAAAAGATTTCCCACATTCACTGCATTCATAAGGCCTTTCTCCTGTGTGAGCTCTCTGGTGAATAATGAGGTGAATTCTCTGGGTAAAGGATTTCCCACATTGACTGCACTCATGAGGCTTTTCTCCTGTGTGAACTCTACGGTGTCGAATGAGTATGGAGCTATTTGTAAAACTCTTCTCACATTCATTGCACTTGTAAGGCCTTTCTCCTGTGTGAACTCTCTGATGATACCCAAGGGCAGAGACAGAAGTAAAAGACTTCCTACATTCACTACACTCATAAGGCCTTTCTCCAGTGTGAATTCTTCTGTGTTTAGAGAGGTACGAATTCTGGCTAAAGGTTCTCCCACAATCAGTACATTCATAAGGCTTTTCTCCCGTGTGAACCCTCTGGTGTTGATTCAACTGGGAACTATCCCTGAAAGATTTCCCACATTCACTGCAGTCAAAAGGCCTTTCTCCTGTGTGAACCCTCTGATGGCAACGGAGGGCGGAGCTAGAGATAAATGACTTCTCACATTCACTACACTCATAAGGCCTTTCTCCAATGTGAACTTTCTGATGATAACGAAGGGAGGAGCCAGAGGTGAAGCATTTTCCACATTCACGACACTCATAAGGCCTCTCTCCTGTGTGAACTCTCTGGTGTATATTGAGATGATTTCTTTGGGTGAAAGTTTTCCCACATTCACTGCATTCATAAGGCCTTTCTCCTGTGTGAACTCTGCGGTGTCGAATGAGTATTGGTCCATTGGTAAAAGATTTCCCACAGTCACTGCACTCGTAGGGTTTTTCTCCGGAGTGAACTCTCTGATGATAACAGAGGGCAGAGCCAGAGGTGAACGATTTCCCACATTCACTACATTCAAAGGGCTTCTCTCCAGTGTGAACTCTCTGGTGTTGGGAGAGATAAGATTTGTGGCTAAAGGACTTTCCACACTCACTGCACTCATAAGGCCTTTCCCCTGTGTGAATTCTTCGGTGTATAATGAGGTGATTTATTTGAGTAAAAGATTTCCCACAATGACTACACTCAAATGGCCGTTCTCCTGTATGAACTCTCTGATGATAACGGAGGCCAGAGCTAGAGGTAAAAAACTTCCCACACTCATTGCATTTATAAGGCTTTTCTCCACTGTGAACTCTCTGATGATAACGGAGGGCAGAGCTGGAAGTAAAAGACTTCCCACATTCATTACACTCAAAAGGCCTTTCTCCGGTATGAGCTCTCCCATGTTCGATGAGGTCAGATTTCCGTTTAAAGAATTTCCCGCATTCGGTGCACTCAAAGCTCATTTCTCCAGAATAAACTGTCTGTTGTTGTGGAAGAAGAGCAGGGCTTTGCCTGAAAGATGGTGCACACTCACAGCAGACATAACAACTTTCTCCAGTGTGGCTTCTCTGAGGATAAATGAGGACAAATTTTTGGTTAAAGGATTTCCCGCATTTGCCGCACTTGTGCTGTCTCGCCGCAGAATGAACTCTTCGGTGTTGAGTGAAGGCTGAGCTTCCCCTAAAGGATTTCCCACAGTCATCGCATACATGAATTCTGTCATTATCATGGACTCTCTGGTGAATAACAAATGAGGATTTGTACCTGAATGTTTTCCCACACTCACGGCACACAAAACACTGTTTTTTAATGTGCACTCCCGAGTCCTGAACATGTGTGTGTTTAGGACTGAAGGCTTTCTCACATTCTTCCCTAGTATAGTTACTTTTTCTGGGCTGAAGAGTCCCCTTACATTTGGAGATCTTGTTTGGTTTCTCTCTGGTGTGAGCGGCTTGTTGGAGATGTCCTGAGGAGGTCAGGCAGTCCTTTCCAACCCCCTCACGGGTAGAGGGCTTCCGTGACATATGGAAATTGCAGCTCTTTACAAATGAGGGTCTATCCACAATGCTTAGGAGGAGTTTCTCTCCCGTGAGCTGCTCCTGGTCATGTTGACAGTTTGCACTGAAATAAAATTGTTTTCCACACGCCCCACACCTCAGTCCGTGAGGTGTTTCCTGGTGCTCAGTCAAACGGAAGATATCTGTCAAGACTGGACCACACATCTCACAGGGGTGGGTCTTCTGGGAAGACTGAGATTCCCTTGAAGTCCTGGCCTGTTCAGATGGTGCCTCCACATTCTTTGTTCCACAACAGCAACCTAAGTGCAAAGAAACGATGGTAAATTGCACGCTGACTTTATTGGCAAGGGGCAACCAACCACAAATGTGTAAAAGTTCCACAAAAAAGAGCAGGGGTGACTATGACTATGTCAGATAACAGGACTTTAAGTCAAAAACTGTCACAAGAGACAAGGAACTTCTATATATAACGATAAAGCAGCCAAGTCATCAAGAAGATGTAACTGTTATAAGAGTACACATGTAACCAATACCAGAGCACCTAACTATACTTAAGAAGTGCTAACTGATCTGAAGAAAGAAACAGACAGCAATGCAATAATAGTTGTAACTTCAATACTCCACTTTCAACAAGGGATAGATCACCCAGACAAAAATATAAGTAAAAGAATATCGAACCTAAACTTTTCTTAAGAGCAAATGGACCTGGCCCTGGCCAGTAGCTCATTTGCTTACAGTGTGGTCCTGATATGCCAAGACTGCAGGTTCAATGCCTGGTCTGGGTAGATACAAGAATCAACCAATGAATTGATGCATAAATAAGTGGAACCAAAAAATCAGTATTTCTCCCTCTCTTCCTCTGCCCTTTCTAAAATCAATAAATAAAAAATTGAAAAACAACAGGTATATACAGAACATGCAGCAGAATACACATTCTTCTCAAGTGCAAAATGAACATATGATATAATAAATCATACTGGGTCACAAAACAAGTCTTAACATGTTAAGTACCTAGTCAGTCACCGGTGACTGACACTATACTTTCCATCTGGAAGACAAAACAGGTTGGGCACTTGAC